AAAAGTATCACAGAATGGTGATACGACACATGTAATATATCCCAAGTGCTCTGGGGTGTACAATAGGGATTCGTGAAAAACTATCAAAATTTATTGTATTATTTAATGAAAATCCTGATTGGCGAGCATTCATGATACTTATTAGTGCTGCTGTTAACGCCAATTTGCCCAGAAAAATCACACAAGAAATCAAAACACAACATGAAATACATTCCCTGTACTTTCTTTTTTGAGGTGAATATATCTATCGTTTTATCCCATTCACTGTTTTATCTGTCATTATGACTGTCACCTGAGAACTGGAGTTCTGGTTCGGATATGTTTAACTTGGTGAAGACAGTATTACATGTTCCGTTTTTATCAATCTTGATTTTTCAACTTGTGTGCCTTTTTTGGTTGAGTCAGAGTGAACGGCAGTGCTAATAGAGTGTCATAAATGCACAGAAGACCTACTCCAAGGTCAGAGAATATTTTGTTAAAATAATACATTACATTGTTTTTAACACCAAACCTATCGTACATCCCCAGAACATAGAGATGGTCCTCAGCAGAAACACAAAATCCAGGAGGAGTTGGATCCAGATCCAACTCCTCCCACATTACATATACCTAAACAAACATATATCTGCTCCCTGACCCCTAATCCTACCCATCTCCACCCCCTGATCCCTAACCCCACCCCAATCCTACCCACCTCCACCCCTTAGATCTGGATCCAACTCCGCCCACTGGATCTTGTGTGCTGCAATGAGGTGCTACTGAGAACATATGCAACGTGTCGCATGGTAATTCTGCTTCTTTTTTAAAAGCTTGATGGTGGTCGTATTCACTGCCATTATATGGAGACATGAAGGGACATTTTATGAAATTCTCTCAAGAGGCCATCTGTGTGCAGATTGTGTTTGTGTTGGTTTCCTCTGGTTACTAACAATTTCTCCCACAATCAAAAACATGCAGGTTAGGTGAACTGAAAACTAGATATGATGTGATTGTCTGTGATTGTCTGATGTGATTGATTGAAATAAATTTGGTGAAACTTCCGGTGAGGCGGCGGAAGTAGCATTCCAATGGTATTTTGTGTGTTATTAGCGAAGAGGCTAGCTGTTTTTCGGAGAATTATTTTACTATTTAAAGACGCAAATTTTTATGAGAGATGGTGTTACGGAGCTCAGGGACAACATGTGCTGTTCGCGGTTGTATGTATAACCGGACTAAACTAATTTAGTGGCTAAACGGGATTGTTTTGAAACATAAGCTGAAAACGAAATCAGAGTGATCCTGCCAGAGCCCGTCCTCTGATCTGCCAACGACTGTAGTTTCCATCACCTCCCAAAAGACGACGAATCTTCCTGTGTACATTGGTTTAAATTCTTAATGTTCTATAAACTCTATCAGCATGGGATTGGCTGTTCCTACTGATGTTACAGCTAAACTCAGGATCAGAGCCTGAGTTGACAGAATACCAAATGTGCCAGTTAATGTATTAAAGAGCATTCATTTATAATTTTGAATAAACTCCAAAAGCAAAATGACTAAGTGTGTATTTTTTATTTTAATTGTTTGTCAGCTCGCACAACTGTCTGTCACCAATGCCTTGATGAGTATTGATTATTAATAATGTTATGATAATACTCCCAATCAACTACTGCGGAGGGTAAAGGTACTGTTATTTCACCCTTTTGAATTTCGTTGAGGTTTGTGTTCCCACATCGTTAGCTAGTTTGGATCGCTATAACTTGAATGACCTGTCAAACTGTTGAATGACGACGTGTCAAGCATGTCAAATCGCACTTTTGTTTACTTCCAACCGAAGTTCGCGCCCACTTTTGACGCAAGGCCTCATGGGGCGTAGGAAACTTGTGGATAGGAGATTAGATGTGTTGATGTTTTGCGCTGTATTGTTGGGTCACTGTATCACATCACAAGTTGGAGATAACAGATAACAGTCTCCATTTCAACACATTCATAATACAAACAGGTTTTCTAAAACATTTTACACAAATTTATATAAATGTGTGTGTGTGTGTGTTGTAATGCACCTTGCTGTAGAGCAGAAGATAACAGCGAGTGTACATATAGGCCAAACTGCGCCCTTATCCACTCATCTCCACCCTCCCAGCCCGTCCCGTCCAGAAACACATCCTCTTTATTTTCAGTGACATGTTTCACCAGGTAATCAGCGAATCGCAGATCAGCTGTACTTAAATACAGCATTTTGCGCAGCTCTGGGTCATGGATCTGAATACGGGCTTCATCCACCTGCACACAGGCAAATTTAAAACAATTAACTCTCAACCGCTACACGTCCGAGATAGGGTTCATGGGTTAACTTAGTACCTCTACAAAACAGACCAATTTCATATTTCAAACACAAGGAAATAAAAATGTGTATACATTGCAAACAAAAATTAAGCCTATTTTAACAAAATATTATGTCATCACTGTGACTGCCAGTCGCTGTTTTCAAATTGGTCACAATGAATGGGCACTGAGACATTTAAGCTTTCAAAAGGATGCTAAAGTACCTTAAAAGCATTATAAAAGTGGCCAAACTTAGTGCAGGCATTTATGGTGCATGGCATAATGGGCATTCGTTCACCAGAGTCTTTTCTAACGACATAACGACATAACCCGAGACGTTTTCTTGATGTAATACATCATCTGCTGGCAGGTCAAGTGCATAATGCAATGCGTCGTGACTCATGTAAATTTTGTAACTATTTACAATAGTGTAAAAAGACAGGAATTTTGACCACGTATTCATTTGGTCGATTGTGGTGCGCACCGATAATGAAAAGTGACAGTACCCGGCAGGCTGTAGGTGGTAGTTTTCTTATTCCCAGCGAAATAACAATACAACCTCTTTAAGAACGTCTTGATCGACTGGGATACAACAACTCTCCTGGCCTCCCTCTCTTTCTTTTCTTTCTTTTCCCCGACATTCCCCGTCAGTCTCCTGCTCTTCCACCAATTTTATCATTAACTTCAGGCAGCTGCCGTCTCAACTCTGACTGGTTCTGTTCACGAGCACGATTCCCAAACTGTGGTCCGCGGACCACTAGTGGTCCGTGAGGGTACTGCAGGTGGTCCGTGAAAAGGCAAAATAAAATATTTTACCAAGAAATTCCTATAAAAAAAGTAAAAATAATATGTACCCTATATTTATATAAAATGTCAATTAAATTGTCAAGCTATTATGTGATTACTAAAATAGGCTAGTGGCGGTCGGCCATGACGTTCAAGCTCGTCAGAACCACAACACTGGATCGGTAGATAGAAACAGGTTAGGTGAGCATTTATTTAGTTGTTTGTTTTAATATAGGTCTATATTAGACAGATGATACAAACAGGAAGGGAAAGATGGGGAGGGTGACAAAGGAGGATATTACGTTCTATTATGATATTACGAAGCCTGCTGTTCAAATGAACCTGATTATAATATGTAAAATATAATATAATTTTTAATATCATAATATGTGTATTATGAGGTGGTCCGTGAAAATTCTTGATTACAAATAGTAGTCCACACACACAAAAAGTATGAAAACCCCTGCTCTACAGTTTCCGGTTGGGGAGATTAAAGCGGAGGAAAGCGGGATTATGGCAGAGTCTTCAAAATTTACTGTCCTCCCGTTTTTGAAACGAAACTTTCATACGTTTAGATGTAATTTTATATATAGTTATGTTTATTTAATATAATTTTAAAAAGAAGCATAAACACAACGAGGGGTGTCTGTTTTGTCTGTTTTTGTGACTAACGTTTCTTTATTATAACCATGGAGTATAAAATTCAATATAAATTCTCGGTATTGCATTGGACTCTACGATCGGCGGAAGTTGTCGAGCATCCTTAATCCTTCACCGGAAATACCGCCGTGCATAGAGCCCATTTTATTGCGTCCATCTGATGTTTGTCACTGATTGAATAATTAATAAAAACTTAAGATTGGACTAAACCATTTTTAGGGAGGCAAGAGAAGCAGATATTTGGAAAAAATACTTAACCAAATTGCCTGTTTTTGTGGTTTTCATTTAAATCTCAGGCATACAACTAATATAAACATTAGAATTATTCATACAACCGTGGCCTATATAATATGACTGCTGGATTTTGTGGGGCCTGGCTGTAGCTAATGTAACACACATTTTAGAAAAATGTCCACTTTTGGTCATGTATAATATTTCAAATATTTTTTTTCATCATTTATAATGTCTGGACAGGACTGTATTGCATTTATCTTGAGAATCATCATCGAGAAGTAAGAGAATTACAATCAAAAGTAGACCAACTACATTACATTACAGGAATGAGAATTGAGAAGACACATTTTCTTGACAATCATGCTTAACTCTCATGAATATAACGTCACAAAGCAAAAAAAAGCTGAACACACATTCTTGACAGGCTTTGTGAGATTCACCTACGGTAATAATATCTCATATGTCTGTCACCATAATTAACAAAAAATAAAATAAATTGATTGACTCACGTCCACAATGGCATCACTTAGGTGGCGCTGTTGACGGAAGAGGATGTTGGTCGCTCCGGCAACAAAACCTCGAACACTTATATCTGATAGCAGGTGGTGCTGTTGGAGTGCCATGTATGGCATGCACAGGTAACCCTGCAAACAGGCCAAAAAAGTCAAAAGGTCATGGTGCATGTTTAATCCAGTGGTCAGGGTTGGTTAGCAGTTAGTCCCTGTTGGTAGAAGTTCTAACTACTTTCTGGAGTAAAAAGTTCTTGTTGAGAATTTGTCAGTTGCTACATTGCTACTCAATGTGCATGCCTGCTAACATTTTGACTTCATTAGGGGTTTTTCTTTTATTGCCACTTTATTAAATAGCATATTGGATATTTATGATTAACTAATTTATTTGGGGCAATACAATAAATATGGCTCTATCACAGTACTTGCTTTCTCAAGTTTGAAAACACAGAGGATACTGTAAAGGTATCGTGGATACAGTGTGATGAAGTTAGCCAATCACAGCAGTGGGACATTTTTTGGTGCAAAAAACTTTGCAAACTTTATAAACTAACCTCGACTGCATTTTTTACAGAGCCCCTAAAGACATGGTGATATGAAATGTGAGGGAAAAATATGTCAATGCTTTTGCATTCATTTGCAAAATGTTTGCGTTAGACTAAAATAAAAAAAATGCAATCTGAATTAAATAAAAGCATGCCAAATTTCATTAATTACTGTATAGTATAAACAGTTTTAACAAATATATTCAAGCTTTTTATTATTACGGAACTTGCACAAGTGTAGTTTTACTCTATGGTGGATGTGACAATGTTTCTTGTGTGCACACCTTTGTAAAGATAGCGAGTGGTAGTCCATACTGGTCTTCTTGCAATCCAGATACAATGCCTGAGGTCAGCGTTCCCTGTCCTGTGGCTGACTGTGGCTGTACTGTTATTGGCAGACCTGAATCTGTGTCAAATATCTCTGAATGATCCATGTCCACATTCTCTTCCATTTCATCCATAACATGAGGCTCCAGTGTCTCCCATTCACACTCTGAGGAGTCCAGCAAGTTTCCCGTGTGAGGCTGAAGGTAGTGTGTGTCCAAAGCAGTGTTACAAGCCTTTGATTGATCTGGCTGGTCACTGACATCATACCTGCCCTCAAGCTCTTTTGGTGTGTCAGTAAAATCTGTAGCAGACATGGAGAATAATTCTTCATCTGCAGATATAATTTCTGGTGAACTGAAGTCCTCTGAGATGCTCCTCCGGGGCTGGTAGTGAGAGGAATCTGCCATCCCATGCTCTATTATACCTGAAAAAAAATATTTATAAGTCACATTATATAACTTACTCTAACAAGCAGAGCTGACATTGTTATGGCAATGGTCGTTTTTGTTTTCAACGGACACACGCACTGTACTCTGTAAGCCAATCACAACAGACTGAGCTGTCTGGCCAATTAAAGCAAAGTTGCTCGAGGAAAGAAGGGATTTAGAGAGATTGATTCATCTGACAAGTTGTTTGAGAATCATTGAAAATGTGGTGATGAGCAAATGTATATTATGAGGAAATGAAACAGTTTTTAGACCTTTGATGCATGTAACCCTGTTGTAGGAGACTATTCTCAATCCTGATCCTGGGGACCTACAGCTCTGCACATTTTATATGTCTCTTTTACCTGACACACCCAGTTCAGTTCATAGCTCTTTCCTAACGAACTGATGATCTGAATCTGGTGTGTTAAAGGAATAGTTCACTTTTGAAAAAACTTTTGCTGATAATTTACTCACCCCCATTTCATCCAAGATGTCCATGTCTTTCTTTCTTCAGTTGAAAAGAAATTAAGGTTTTTGATGAAAACATTCCAGAATTTTTCTCCATATAATGGATTTCAGTGGGAACCAAACGGTTCAAGATCCAAAAAACACTTTCAGTACAAACTGCAAACTGTTCAAGAGGCTTTAAACGATTCTAGATGATGAATAAAGGTCTTATGAAGCGAAACGATCGCTCATTTAATAAATAAATAACAAAGTTTAAGTTTTATAAGCTCAAATGGTTGCCTTGCTTTGTTCTGTGGCGCACTTTTTTGACTCTCCTGTTCGAACTCGTTCATCAAAACGAACAAATATTTTTCTGAGTCATTTAGTTCATTCAACGAACAAAACAAAATGAACGAATTGACTCAGAAAAAGATTCGAACAGTACATCGCAGTATAGAGCAAGGCGAGCATTTGAGCCTATAAACTTAAACTTTGTTATTTATTTTTTTTTTTTAAATGAGCAATTGTTTCGCTTGATCATCTGGAATCATTTAAAGCCCTCTGAACAGTTTGCACTGAAATTGTCTTTTGTACCTTAAACCGTTTGGTTCCCACTGAAGTGCATTATATGGAGAAAAATGCTGGAATGTTTTCATCAAAAACCTTAATTTCTTTTCAACTGAAGAAAGAAAGACATGGACATCTTGGATGACATGGGGGTGAGTAAATTATCAGCAAAAGTTTTTTGAAAAGTGAACTACTGCTTTAAATAGGGAGACATGCAAACTTTGCAGAGCTGTAGGTCGCCCTGACCTGGATTGAGAACCACTGCTCTAAACTTTAAAACAGCATAATAGGGGCACTTTAAGAAACTGTTTGTATTTTTAGATCATTTAATAACATTTGTAGTATCTTGTTAAATTTACTCTGCAGTGTTACTATTTCTTTATTAACTTTTAAGTTAGCTTCAATTTTTTTTTTTTTGTTAGAATAACACACCCACCAACATAACTCTGGCACAATATCAAAAGACTTGTTTTCTATCATTCTTACCTGGAAACAATGACAGCACAGTCATCAGAGTTTCAACCAATCTCTTCACTGGAGTCACATAAAACAGGATCTATAGGGAAATATTAAACGTGAGTGTATTTAAGACTGGACTCATCCCACTTTACTACAAAGTCTGTATTGAGATGGTATTAATTACCTTCTTTTCTAGCAGAATCAGTTTAAAAATAATCAGAACCTACAGCAAATAAAGAGAAACAACACCAACATTTAGTCCAAAATCAGACAAGTTTCATAATAAAGATCAAAAAAATATGTATTATCCAAAAGGATGAGGCAGCATTTAAAATGAGTCCAGTCCTTTACCTTGTGTTTAAAGTGCAGGATCAAATCTCTGGCAGACAGACCTTCAGAAAAAAATTGGAAATGGCAAATTAAGTATATATATTAATCATGTACATTTCTTTTTAATTATTTGACTTTATCACACCCCAAAGTTGTGTTAAAAAAACAAACATTGGCTGCAGTTTCATAACTGGTCTTTGTGTAGTTATTCAAAATACTCCTAAAAAGCATTAAATGCTTTAAATGATTAAATTTTGTAATTAGGCATATTGTAGTACAGCACAAAATAGTCTATGACAAAAAATATTGTCTTTTTTTTGCAATAATGTGCACTGGTCAGTCACACACAATAAGACTAGAAATGTGTATTTGGAAAGTAAATAGCTTCAAATTTGACGTCACACACACACACACAATTAGGGTCAGTTAAAAGAATATTTCATTTAAAAATTAAAATTCTGTCATCTACTCACCCTCAAGTTGTTTCAAACCTGTATGAATTTCTTTATTCTGCTGAACACAAACAAATATATTTGTAAGAATGTTGATAATCAAACAGTTGATGGACCCCACTGACTTACAGAGTATTTGTTTCCCTACTATGGAAGTCAATGGGGTACATCAACTGTCTGGTTACCGATATTCTTCAAAATATATTAAATTGTTCAGCAGAATAAAGAAATTCATACAGGTTTGAAACAACACGAGGGTGAGTCAATTATTACATAATTTTCATTTTTAAGTAATGTATTCCATAAAGGAGAAATGATCTATTATAGTTGTGTTTTTGAATTACCCAGATAAATCTGTGATCCCTCCAGCGCTGTACAGCTTAAAGATCTGTTCATATGATCATAGAGCTCCTACAGAGAACCAAGAACAATCATACAGTGATTTTTTTGCAACTGGCTGATATAAAAGTAGTCTTCTTTATACTGATATCGGTGTTGATTCAGCATTATACAAAAGCAAATGTCTGCAGTTACTGATGTCACCATAAAAGTACAGATGTATTTGACACCTAAGTTTAATTTATTCTGCAAATGAAAGTAGGTGAATAATACACCTTTTGCACACATCCACATTATGTTTAGTTCCATTGTGTTCATTTACATAATATTTACAGAGGTATATACATTCATCAAACTCCCCTAAGTGCGAGTGTCGTCTGAGTTTATTTGATTTGCGTGTTCTGCGTTTATCATTTATTTGATGTTTTACTAATAGCTGTTATGTTCTCACAGGATTCGAAACCTGTACTTTAATCAAATTAAATAAATGTACTACAATTGTTTCAGTCATTGACATCCATACTTTTTTCTTTGCAGGAGGTGTGACTTCTGTCCTGAATCTGTCCTCTGGATTTAACCCATCCAAGTAAGTGCACACACACACACACACACTGAAAACCAAGACAGACACAACCGTGGCCCTTTGGTTACAGGTCAGACTCTTTAACCATTAGAACGCAACTGCCGGTAACTTACAGTGACATGGTTGTAGTACTGTGGAACACAGACAGACCTTTCAGTTGGTAGGGTTATTTTGACCCAGCTACTGGTTTATTCATTTTTCATTCTTTGTCAAAATTTCTGGATTCTTCACTTGGCTTCAGACTTAAAGAGCAACATGCAGGTCGAATTTATTTCTGTATTAATACTTTAAATTGTCTAGAAATTACTAATGAAATCACATTTGATGTAGAGATTTTGATGAAAATGTGCTAGGTTCTGGAATAGGCCTTTCCCGCTAGCAACGCGTCATATGACGTAAGCCGAGGCAAACAAAAAAGCTTGTGGTCCGCTTTCTAAAATTTTAGTTAAAAGCCATAAAATTTTAGTCTGAAGTGGATGTTGATCCACAAAAAGACTTCAGGAAATAATATACACACTTCACATCTTATTTAGAGAAATAAAGCTGGCTAAGTATAGATTTATAGAATGGCGCTTTATTTCCAAGCATTTATTGTCGCTCCGAGCAAGATGCTGCATTGTAAACCTTGGATTTTCATCTAATATTAGGTGTTTGTATCTATTGTAAAAATAATTGTATATTTCACTATTCATGCCTAATATTTCCTGCATAATTTCGTTCATAAAGAAATATATTCTGTGTAGGTCAGTTACCTGTGACCTCTATAGCATTTAACCTAACGTCTGAAGTAATTAATTATCATAGATATATCCATGAAAACGAATCATGTCCTACTGATACACAGCAAATAGGGTGATTTTAGGTAAAGGGTTTGGCTCTCTGTCAGTAGGGAATACCAATATGAACTGCTGGCAGTTAAACACACAATGAACAATCCAGTCATTTATATAGATTTGAGAAGTTGCCCCTACAGCAAAGCTGTAAGTTTATCTACTTCAAAAAATATCAAAATTACCTCAGTACTGAATGTCATGTAGCTCTTTAGTGGCATTCTTCTCTGTGTACATGTCCAAGTGTGTACCTTAGTGTGCTTTTCATAAATAACAAAACTCATATTTATTCTTTTTTGGTTTTTGGTTCTTTTTCTGTGCTAATCTGCAAAGGTCTTGAAATAATATGGCTAAGTGATATGGAACTGTAATGATGTCAAGACCTGCCTGAAACTACTTTAGCTGTGCATGTAGGACAACACGTTGCAAACATATTTCCAGCAGCATTTAATGTCAGATTTAGCAGTTGTTGGCTATAATAGATTTAGTACAACAAATGAATCCCAAATATACAAAATGCGATTTTTTTTTTACTCTTTACTAAGAGTGTCTTAATTTTAGACCAACTGACAAGTCAATTAAAAAAATCTGTTTAAACAACAATTACATTAGTCAGGAATGTGCTCCTTCCTAATTTAAAATCCACTGGTTTAAAGAACCAGTGTGTTAAAGGAATTGTGTGAGAGGAATGCTTCGGGGACATGTTTACTAATCGCTGCGAACATGAGTCTACAGATGGAATTTGTAAAACCTACACCACTGATATGACTGAAGTTCTTAATTTCATAAGTGTAAAACATTTGAACTTACAGGTCCTTGTTCTATATATTCTAGCTGTATTAGTTCTTAAAATATCTGAAAATGTATTGTGTGTGAAAGATCTTGCCTTTAGGATGGAGATCTGAGAGAAATCTTTTTCTTCAAAGTAAGCGTGTGTTATGAGCTGAAGTTTAGCCTCTATCATTCCAAACAGTGGCTGAAACAACAATACATAACATTAATATTAATAATCAGTATTTTTCTATGAAAATCAAAGCTTCTCTAGTATATGCATCTCACCAGTCGACTGAGAACACAAACACTCTTCTGAACTGTCTCTCTCGTGATATCTGCCTCTCGTACTTTCAGTGCCTGTAATACACAGCATTACAATAACATCAGACTAGATATAATGTTATTCTTTAACAGTATCTATAAAAAAAATCTGCTTATTTATTTATTTAGAGAAATTTATGTTGGATTTCAGACAGCATTTCCCTGGGTTATGCTCAATTAAAAAAAAATAAATCTTACACAAAGCATAAGTATAAATTATTGTGGACAAACCTTAGCCTCCATCTGTCTGTAGCAAGACACTCCATAAACACATTTCATCTGTCCATCCAGAGGAGGTAAATGAAAGTAGACTGTGTCTATTCCATAAAAAAACATAACAATATACATTTTAAAACAAATATGCTGATAAAATACTTCATTGATTATATCTATGATCATAGCTCAGTGTGAACAAAGTGTGGCAAGTTTCAGCCTGACGCAGTTATCATTTTCACGTCCTGCGCCACATTGTTTAAATAGCAAATGCATTTGAGCCCATCTGTGTGCCCATGTGTGTGCTGGTCTGAAAACAAGGTGTGTTCAGGCACATTGTTGGCGTGTTGCTATTTTGAGGCAACTGAAATAGACTGCACCATCAAACAAACAAAAACCTGGTTTAAAAATAAATGTTGGATATTTAAAGGAAGAACATTTAGTTACATTTATTTATTTAAAAATTAAAAATAAAAGGATTACAATGTGAAAGATTATTATTGTGCACATAAAGATTTCAAAGAATTCGGCTTGTCCCATAGATGTCCTACTTGAGCATTTTAACATTTAACCAGACCAGTTTCCTCTATGGAGAAGCATTCGGTCTTTACGCTTGCAAATTCCGTAATGTAGCGAATCCGCCATGCCACGAATGCAACTGGCTTTAAAAAGGGAATGGGAGATGAAACTCTGATTGGTTTATTACACGTTACGCCAAAAACACACCCATTACTCAATAAGAGATTAGGGACAACCCTTTTAGAGATTAGGGACAACCATTTTCCCCATCGTTCCATCAGTGGATTCGGACACGCCCTAAGTGCACTTGCGCCGTGAGCTTTAGACCATGCACTTAGATCGTTAAAATAGGGCCCTAAGCGTTATGGGGAAATGTTTTGGTGCCATTTCAGCAGGCTGGTAACATAAATTTGTTAACTTTAATGGCAAAATGGCAAAGACAGTTAATTAATTATTTGCTAATTTATAATGGCACATAAATTCAAATGATTGCTTGTGCTGGGGCTCACAACCTCTCGACTTTTAGAACAGCCCCATGTACGCCTGGCCCAAAATGTAGCTTATATGACTTGATATTGTGTTAGGCAGATGTGACTGGGCCAATAGACCTTATTCAGAGCAGCGCCATGACAGGTATGAAAGTGAGGCTGTGAGGGATAGACTTACCGTGTTTCCAATGGCATCCGCTGTAAAAAGCTGAATAAAGCGGCTAGATTACTTACAATTTTCCGCAGCTTACATTGTTGGGAGTTTTTTGTCAACTGACATTTCTTGGAAAGATATTTTTACAGTGTTTCATGAGCAGAACAATCCGAAAACACATTAAATAACAGTACAGCCCATTGAAGAGATGCAAGTCTATCCCTCACAGCCTCGCTTTCATTCTCATTAAAAATCAAAGATGGCGCTGCCGTGAATAAGGCGTATGGGACAATGTTATTACCTAACATTAACTGTAAGGAAAAGGGAAATGGGCTATGGTATCGCTACTGCTTTGTGAAAAAGTATTGTAAAAGTCAATAAAACAATATGCATTATGGTGCATTTGTCACAGGTGGTTGCAGGTAAACAGGCGAAGAAGACAAAGATATTTCAACGCAAAGTTTTAATAACAATAAACCTACAATTAGGTGAACTTGAAGCAACACACACACTTAAAGGCGGGCGTACACGGTGCGATTTTTTGCTGTTTTACGAGCTCGCAGATGATTTTTTTTTCACTTGGGAGAAATCGCGTGTAAATCGGTTATGCTCGCATGTCGTGGCTCGTATCGTGTGCGAGGAAGATACGAGCTGAGCCGAGCATCTCTCGACCTCCCGATAATTTTTAAGCATGTCGAAAAAGTTCGGGAGCTGTCGGCTTGCATTTGTGAGGTGTCTGCGGTTGAATGAGCCGGTTTTTCAATCTGTCTGAACTTGACCAATCAGGAGCTGAGGAAATCCACAGAAGAAAGACGAAAATGGTGTGGACTACTAGAAACACTGCTTCAATTAATGTTTTTATGATGACTTTGTGAAAGGTTAACTAAACCGCATCCGCCGTGTTCATACTGGCCAGTATTTGGCATATTTCATTCTGAAACATCTGTAGGCTATTATGCTATTGTTTTTGACAGTGTTATACATTTCTTACAGATTCTTACACGTCACGATGATCATTACGTTTGTATCTTCCTAAAGATAGATAGATATTACAGTTTGTCTACAACCTAAGCTTTTTTTAATTTTTTTTATTAATGCCGACAGAACAATGTTGCCAGATATTGCTACGAAAAAACAAGCAAAAACTAACAAAAACAAAGAAACTGAAGAAATAAAAGTATTTAGGTAGAATTTCAAAAACTCTTCTCAATTTGTACTAAAGTGTAGTGTAGTGTAGATTGAGACTTTACCTTCCTGATAATTGTGTGCTCCGTCGGGCAGTGCCAGGAAAGGCAGGTACTTCCATTCCTCTGGGAGTGTGTTACTGTCATGACCCGCACTGGGAATAATGGGAGGATATGAGAATTCTACCTGAAATAAAAATAAAAAGACAACAGTAGACTGATTTGAGGTTAATGATGAGAAAGGGCTATCTGAAAACTATAAAAAGCTAGCATATTTTTATAATATTTGAACAGCTTTGTACTTATCAATTTTACTAAACCAAATGTAATTTTTACCAAATTAACCTGTCATGAGCATGGCATGTGGTGTGACAACGCATTCTCATCCTAGGGCGTCATATAGTGACGCTTTTGACATTTTGTCTAAATCCAACGCATATGGCACCCTTTAGCATCAATAAAACACGCACATAGTTTTGTTCAGTTATGGGTAGGTTTAGGTCTGGGGTAGGGTTAGGGTTAGACCCCTAGGAGGCGCCACCTGGCCCATATATATCTGCGTCTCATATTGACGCTAAAGGGTGCCGTGTGCATTACTGCATGCTGTAAGTGAAGCACATGACAATACAGAATATATAGAATATAACAAAAACAGTCCAATAATCCAGAACAAGAAAAAACAGGAGAACTGGGGCCCATTCTTTGTACGTTGCTTAAAACAGTGTTTCCCAACCCTGTTCCTGGCGGCACACCAACACTGCGTGTATTCTTTGTCTCCCTTATCAAACACACCTGATTCAACCCATCAGCTCATAATCAGGTGGGTTAATGAGCTGATGGGTTGAATCGGGTGTGTTTGATTTGAAGAAAACACGCAGTGTTGGTGTGCCGCCAGGAACAGGGTTGGGAAACACTGGCTTAAAACATCCAAGATCAAATGAGACATCCAAGATAATATCATCGTGCTCATCATGATCCGGCTAATTGGGTTCTTTGAACACTCCTGCCGGTTATGATTAGTATCGCTGGATTGAGTCATCTGAGATAACTGCGCGTTCTCGCGTTGGTTTAAAGGGGACATGTATCGATAGCAGAAACAGTGATTAGCAACGCTGCTATTGGCTGCTCAGCATGGCCAAAGAACACGCCCATTTTCTCTCCCAAGCAGAGGAGCAAGAGCTTTTAATGGAAGGTTATGCCGAATTTCAGTGCGTTTTTAATTAAAACGCAGGGAACACCTCAAAGTGTGCAAAAGCCAAGAGAGAGTGCTGGCAAAAGCAGAAGGCAAATTAAATGAGTTTGTGGTGGCCATGTTAGATGTTTTAATAACTTATTATTATTATTTTATTTTTATTTTCATAATTTCATAATTACATGTGCTTTGTTCATTGTAATGTAAGAGTCACCACACTATAATAATGGACATGGTGAAAGTGAAGTAAAAAAATAATATTCTATTAATGGTAAATTTACTAGGCCTTATAGGCCTACTAGTCTATTTTAAATTGGGAACTGTTAAAAAAAAATGATTGTCTGTTTATAAAAGCAACTAGGAAAAAGGATGAATAAAAAAAATATATATATATTTTATATAAATAAACTTTGACTGTGAAATAGTTTGTTGCTGCATTAAAGTTTGTCACATACATCAAACGTCTCCTCACTATCGGCTAGCTGCCTGTCCCCTAAACACACTGTAAAAAAACGCGGTCTCTGTAGACACCACAGGCTCCACAAACGGCAACAAAAACAATCATGTCTTACCCGGACCACGAAACCTAACAAACAGTGTTCCAGCCAATCACTGGCAAGAAGTATTTGAGGGTGGGTCTGGGGGTTTAGTGTGCGTGCACATGAAGGGGGGGTGTGTGTGTGTGAAGGAGAGCGAAGCATCAGAGGGAAGTTTGAAAAATGGCCGACACACGACCAAAGAGACGTCGTTCTGAAGAACAAATTAAAAAGAAGAAGGAGTCGGATAAAGAACGTGCGAAGTTCCGAATTTACATCGCTTTTGAACGATGGCGAGAACTCCGGCGGCAGAAGGGCTTACAGTCCGACATTCAGGTTGCTCTGTTTTTGCTGGACAGGTGGGTAACGTTAAATTGTTTTTTTTTTCTTCTAAATTGACGCTTATGTTCGCCAAACCCACACAAGGATATAATTAGCTAGAACTATGCACGTTCACAATTATTTCAGGAAGCACGGAAGGGAGGGGGAGGAGATGAGATGCGGAGGAGGGCGGGTCTAGCTAGCCTCCGATTTGTTTGAAAATATTCCGAACGTCAACACCCAGGATCGCTTAGAGAACCTTTAAATTAAGTAGGCCTACAGGTATAATCCAAATTGGCTGGTTTAGTCATTTCAACTGTTAAATCTTGAGTAATGATAAATTGCTTTGTCTTGTGAAAGTAAAAAACTAATAAACTTATGTTATTACAAATTACAGACCCATTTCAAATCTTTCATTTTATATCTAAAATACTAGAAAAAGTTGTGTCCGCTCAATTGTGCTCTTTCTTGCAAGAAAATGATAAAAGACCGCATCATACCACAGAAACTGCGCTAGTTAGACCGCATCATAACACAGAAACTGCGCTAGTTAAAAGCTTCTTCTGCGCTAGCTTCTGACCAAGGCTGTATCTCAATACTAGTTCTTCTCAATCGTAGTGCTGCGTTCGACACTATAGATCATAAAATACTCTTTATTGGATCGACTACAAAACTACACTGGTGTTCAAGGATAGCCATTAAGCTGGTTTAGATAATACTTATCAGACCGTTACCATTTTGTCTGTTTAATAACGTCACTAGACTGTGGAGTGCCACAAGGATCGGTGTTGGGCCCTCTGCTATTTTCAATATATATGCTGCCACTTGGTAATATTATAAGAAAACATGGAATTCATTTCCACTGTTATGCTGATGATGTTGAAAATGTTATTATTTAGAAAATAAGCAATTTATCTATATATTAGGACACTATTAGTTCCTCTGTGTACGTGTGTGCGTCTTTGGGTTTGACATTTGGAAGCCTGAAAGGCTCAAATGCTGATACAACAGAGAGTGCTATTCTCAGAAGTCACATGGTACAAGACCTTTACCTCAAAATATCTATAGGATGTATTACCATTTTTGGAGGTGATGTATGTGTATATATGTGAAACTGGCCACCTGTTCTGGAGTGAGTGCCTGCAGGACGAAGTGATCTCCTGCTGGAGGGAGTGATCCCCTGCAGAGGACGCTCAGCTTTGTTTGTTATAATAAAGTCTAATATTTCTGGCATCAAAGATTCTTGAGAAGTGATTTCATAAAAAGACTGAAACCACGACAATGACACTCAATTATATATTTCACCATGACTAGATGAAAACACCAACTCATCTAAATTGACAGTGTCTTAAAGATATAAAATGCTGGATGGCGCGTAATTTCCTGCTATTAAATTCAGATAAAACGGAGCTAGTACTTATTGGTCCAAAAAACTACCCACAAAACCTCTTGCAATACAACTTTAATTTAGAAGGATGTCCTGTTACTTTATCCACTACAGTAAAATACCTGGGTGTCATACTAGACCGCAACTTGTCTTTCGAAAATCATATTTAATATGTTACAAGAACAGCCTTTTTCCACCTTAGAAACATTGCTAAGCTACGTATCATGCTATCTGTTTCTGATGCAGAAAAGTTAGTTCATGCATTCATGACCTCGAGACTAGATTACTGTAATGCTTTATTAACTGGTTGTCCTGCATCCTCAATAAACAAGCTACAGTTCTTAGAGAGTTGTTATTTTTACTAATTATTTCCCATCTACTTTTCTGCTGTTATATTAGGACGCAAGACCCGAGGTAAATAGCGTTCATCAGCTCCAGTTTGTATCCAGCATCTCACGGAGACTTCCGATGCCCCAACACCTGCAATGAGATGACTAAACGCCTGTGAAGAGACGACTCTCGACGCCTGTGAAGAGACGGCTCAATGATATGTTATGCTCTAAATTAATACATGAATAACTAAATGTATTTTTTCCATGTACATTTCTGAAATGCACTTTCTGTAAAGCTGCTTTAAAACAATATGTATTGTGAACTTATACACGCTGATAGCTCAAAATGCATAGAGATAACACGCCACTTGACTCGACTTGAAAGTGGCGTGTATGTTTACGCAAAAGTCATGATGTCATGTTGGAAATTGTTAAAACCATGTTATTACACTAAACTAGATAATTAAATTTTGTTAATTCTACATTAATTTTCCTGTATATAATTATATTTTTTATGAAAAATACTGGTTACGCCAATTGACACAAAACAGTTACACCACCTGACCATTTTGCTTCTAGAGTCAAAGGCTATTGTTTGGTGACGAAATTGTGACTGAAAATCAAGCATGACAGTCAACAAGTTCAGCAGAAGTGGTTTTATTTTTGTTAATGCTGAAAAACAACAAATGGCAAGAACTAATGAGGTTCATTCTTGTGTGTTACACAGCACGTTTGAGCTTCACCAGGAGCCACTGAGGTTCATTCTCATGTTACGCGACAAGTTTGAGCTTCAGCAAGAACCAATGAGGTTCATTCTTGTGTTACGCAGCACGTTTGAGCTTCAGCATGTTTAATCAGCATCATTAAATTCAACTAAAGCCAAGTTCACACTACAGGATTTTATGCCCGATTTAAGCGGCCGTCGCGCAACTCAACCTCAGTGATGTCATGAGCTATAGCTAATCATAGCAAGGCATCAGATGAGGTCACTGGGTAAATCTTATTTTTTCTTGCATTTTTTCTCAGAGCAAATCATCGCGCAAACAGTGTGCAGTACTAGTTTCTGTCTGACGTCCATATTCGCGTGTTGTGTTCTCTTCTTCACTGTTTCCCATGCAGTGTAAATGGGGCTATAGATAAGAGAATAGAGTCTTGAATGTACAGGGGTTGCACCAACTTTAACTCTTTAATTCTCTGCCATGACCTTTAGGCTTGACATTAGTCGCTGGTCATGGACATTCACTTAATATCCACTTTAAAGCTCTGTGTCCAAACAGTTAAAATGACAAATAAATGCATACTCTGAGAGCACTCCATAAGATGATTATATTATAGATGCTCAAAATTTATTGAGAGAATTCACGTTTTAAACAGCTTATTGTTGTACACCTAAGTTTATTTGCCGTTCTAAACTAATGGGTGCTACATTGTAGATTGTGAGGCACGATCTTCTGTATGAGTGTACGTTACAATGCAGCATCCATTAGTTTAGAATCATTCAGTAGCGCAAAAATATAAAAGCTCTTCCAAACTTTATAATGGCAGTGAATAGAGGATGAAATTTATAAGCCCAAAAAGTGCATCAATCATTAACATAGGCTACTCCACACAGCTCCGAGGGGTTAATAAAGGTCTTCTGAAGTGCAGCAATGCATTTGTGTAAGAAAAATATGCATATTAAAAACGGAAATAAAGCTTCCAGGAGACAGCCTACTTAATGCCAAAAGAGTAACCCCGGACGTGATGTAGGAGTAGCGTAAGCTTTGACGCTTCTCACGGTTCAAATAAATAGGGCTAGGCCACAAACTCAAACTTTTGCACAGGATTAAGTTTTAAAATGAAAATGCAATAGTGTAACATATTGATTTTTTTTAAACTGGCTTAATTTGATTTATAACTATATTATTACAATGTCTTACTATTCTAACTGAATTTGTTATTCCTACTATATTTTGATCTATGTCCAATAATTAAATTTGTATGTGATGCCAGTCAGTGAACATTATTCATCTGGTCATGTGATATCAACATGGCAGCCACCATGAGGGAGGGACCTTTATAAAGAATAAACGAGATTATGATATGACTGAAACCTTCTCATGTGAGTGGACATCATGCAATAATTGCCATTCATTCAAAAATAAAAGAAATGTGTTTTTACTTGTTTTGTTTGTCTGGGTGGAATGAAGGCAGAAATGCTAGATCTCACACACTTTATCGTCATCAGTGTGGAGTTACAGGCGATGTTGATAATTTATGATCATTCATCATTTAGTGAGTCGAGCTCCTAAAGCAAAGAGCTTTATTTTTGCTTATTGTTGTCTGTTGCATTTCTACACCAAAGTACCAACAAAGGTAAATAATAAATTATACAATAGTAAAAACAAATTATATGAACGGGCAATAAAGAAGCGCGCGACACGTTTGAAGCAGATTAATAAACAAACATGCGACAGACTCTTACCTGACAACCCTTTTTATGGTGAAATCCCACAACTACGATGTGCAGCACCGGTTCCTCTTTGCACTGCGACTCCATTAGCTCTATTATAATCAAACCAGAGTTCAAAAGAGAAGAAATAAAAAGTAAAACATTTGTTTAATGTGTGGAGCCTTTAACTTCCGCACTCTTGACCATCATGTCACGCGATGCTCCGCCTCCAGGACACAAACACACCAGACGAAAACCCGTCATAGACAGCCGAGAGAGGGCGAGCCATGGCTCGAATAGATGGATCATCAATCAATCCATCATAGCCATTCATTTTTAAGCACTAAATCCTGTGTCGGTGGCCAGTTCATGCAGTCTTTGATATTGATGACAAAATAAAAACCGTTTAACAAGAACACTTCCCAACACGACGTCGCCAGGATAGTCTGTATGACAACGTTTTGTATTGATATATTTTGTGCATTTTGTGATTTACATGCATGCTTTCATTTATTTTGGAGTTGTCCTCATTCAATTCGTTTTGGTCAGATTTCTTTTCTTTTATTAATGCATTATGCATAGCTTTCAACTGTGTTTTAGAAATGCTTTATTTGTTTGGTTTTTTGCACATATTTATTTGATGTTTTCTCAACATAATTTATCTCCATTCTTCCCAGGTCTGTAAAGTGACTGCTAAAGATCTAATCTGAAAAGCGATAGCACACATAGCCAATCTCGGAGTTAACATGGAAGACGTAGGCTAGGTCTATTTTTAGAGTGTTTGCTCATTTGCAATACGTCTACAAGACGTTTCCTGTCAAATAGACAATTAGAAAATGTTAAGATGTTTATAAATGATAAACTGACATCTTAAAGACGTCTATCAGATGTTTGTACACAGCAGAGGGCAGATGAAGTGATCTTGCAGACGTAGGCCTACAGTATACGTGCTATCTGCGTAAAAAAAAACATCTCAGTCTCAGAAAAAAACTGTTTTACAAAGGCTGCATTCTAAATCTTAAACATCTTAAAGACATCTTCTAAATGTTTATATGACAGCTAACAAGACACGTCAGAGACGAGCATATGAGCAAACGCTCTTAAAATACATTACAGATGACAGATGTAAATGGAGATATCAAATAGATGTCTCCAAGATGTACTTGTGCTATATATCAGGGTACTGTAATAAACTTGTTTTATATTTGTTGGGGGTTCTCATGGGGCGAAGGCAGTAAGGTGATTGGTTCATAGTCACATGACTCAGTGTAATCAGGAAGCTCAGCAATGTGCACGGAGCTGTGGATGTGTGATGATTGCCGCTGTTCTTGGAAGTGATCAGTAAAACTTATTGAGTATTGCAACCACCGTTTCCAGTGCCTCATTCGAACTACAAGATATCACATTGGTGACGAGGATGGCGCTAATAGGACGAGTGGAAGAGTTCAAGGAGTCGCGGGAGGATTTCGCATCCTACCTGGAGAGATTTGAACTGTGGCTAGAGGCAAACGAAATAAAAGCAGAAAAACAGGTCAGTGTATTTTTAGCGTGCATTGGACCAGAAACTTATGGACTGCTGAAAAACTTGGTAATACCAAAGAAGCCCGCAGAAATGACTTATGAAGAGTTGACTGATACGTTGAAATCACATTATCAGCCGAAGCCTTTGGTCATAGCGGAGAGATTCCATTTTCAGAAACGTGATCAAAAAGAAGGAGAGTCAGTGACGGATTACATAGTGGCAATAAGACAATTGTCGAAGGATTGTGAATATGGAACTCACTTAGATGACGCATTGAGAGATCGCCTTGTGAGTGGACTGTCCGCAGAATCGATTCAAAGAAAATTACTGGCGGAAAGAGAGTTGACGTTTACACGCGCATGTGAAATAGCGTTGATGGAGATGGCGTCGAAGAATTCTCTTGAAATCTTGGGAAAAGTACAGGGTGCAGCTGTAAATCAAGTCTCTAAATCATATCTTGGAAGCAAAGGACGACGGCAGTTTAGACATGGAAATGAGAATCCAAAACTGAAAAATTATCAGGAAGGGGACAGTGAACAGAGATGTTATCGTTGTGGGGGAGGGGGACACTCACCTCAGGAATGCCGATTTAAAAATGAGAAATGTCATGCATGTTCCAAGACAGGGCACATTTCCAGAGCATGTCGGAATAGGAGACAGACTGCCAAGGCCCAGTATGTGGAAACGGAGGATCACAATGTAGACGGTGAAGATGACCCATTAGGGGTCTTTACAGTTTACATGGTATCCAGTGGGGATGGAGGCATTAAAATTAATTTGAAAGTATGTGATGAGGACATTAGTATGCAGTTGGATACTGGTGCAGCAGTGTCCCTTGCATCGGAAGTGTTGCACCAGAATATGTTTCCGCATTTACCCATTGAAAAGTCCAACATCAGATTAAAATCGTACTCAGGAGAAATCATTCCCCTTCTTGGCTGCGTTCAGGCACCAGTGCAGTACGGGGACCAGAAAGCTACACTGCCCCTCATCATAGTGAAAGGAAACAGGCCGGCTCTGTTTGGTCGAAATTGGTTGGAAAAGCTAAAACCTCCAGTCCAATTGGCTGGACTGGAGGAATATTTTCACAGTTGAAACAGGAACGAAACATGGCGACCCGGAATTACAAGCAGTGCTGCAGCGCCACTCTGTGGTGTTTTCGGAGAAGGCCGGTGCCATAGAGGAATTCAGAGCAATTATAAGAATGCAGCCGAATGCACAGCCAGTCTTTTGCAAAGCCCGGCCAGTGCCGTATTCATTGAAGGAGGCTGTGGAAAAAGAACTGGATAGGTTAGAAAAAGAGGGAATAGTTTCCAAAGTGGATCATAGTAAATGGGGGGCCCCGATCGTAGTTGTACCGAAGGCTGATAAATCCATCCGCATCTGTGGGGATTACAAGGTCATAATAAATAACCAGCTGGAAGTAGAGACGTACCCTCTGCCCAACACTGAGGATTTATTTGCGACCCTAGCAGGAGGGAAGTGGTTCTCAAAGTTAGACCTTTCGCATGCTTATCAGCAGTTGAGATTGGACAAAGACTCTGAAGAGTATTTAACCATTAATACTCACAGAGGACAGTACCGATACCATCGTCTTAGCTATCAGGTTGCCAGCGCACCGTCAATTTTTCAATCAGTGATGGACCAGGTCCTACAAGGGCAAGAAGGGGTGACTTGTTTCCTGGATGACATCTTGATCACAGCCGACACAAAAGCCCTGCACTTAAAAAGGCTGGAGGCAGTGTTGAGCTCTCTTGCACGTTATGGGGTGAGAGCAAAGTTAGCCAAGTGCAGTTTTCTACAGTCAAGTGTAGAGTATTTGGGGCATTGGATAGATCAAGAAGGCCTGCACCCTACTCAGCACAAAGTGGAGGCTATTGTGAATGCCCCAAAGCCCACAAATGTCTCGGAGTTACGTGCGTATTTGGGGCTTTTGAACTATTATGGCCGTTTTCTGAGAAACTTGTCTAGTGTGCTACAGCCATTGCACACTCTGCTTAAAAAAAGAGGAAAAATGGAGCTGGACGCCTGCATGTGAAGAAGCCTTCAAGAAGGGTAAAGAGATGTTACTGAGTAGCACAGTTCTGGTACATTATGATACAGAGAAGCCGTTGAGATTGGCATGTGACGCATCCCCGTACGGGGTGGGGGCAGTCATTTCACATTTGATGGACAATGGGGATGAGACCAGTTGCGTTCGCCTCTCGCACTCTGACTGAGGCTGAGCGAAAGTATGCGCAAATAGAAAAAGAGGCGCTGGCAATCATTTATGGGGTAAAACAAATTCACAAGTATCTTTATGGACGTAAGTTTACTCTCATAAAATAAGGGATTTTTTTTTTTTACGACCCACAAACTTTAAAAATAAAACACTAATCATTAAAAGTCTAAAGAGTTTATAACTAGCCAACATATGTGCGAGAGAGAAAGAGACAGTATGTGTGTGTTTGTGTGTGTATGAGAGAGAAAGAGACAGTGTGTCATTAAAAAAATAATATCATAGAGAATGTTTAAATAATATCAGCTTACGAGGGAAACGGAGGCGGAGTAGTGGTGCTTGCTGGAGATGATTCGGGAGAGGTCCGTGCACCTATACCGATCAGAGCGCGCGCTGACATGGAGTAAAGCCTTTATACTCGACGTGACAGCACGAGCGCGGCCGGCAAATATGACAAGTTGATCATTTCGCCACAGCTTTTTTTGTAACAGCGCGCGCGGCGCCGGCCGCATCCAAGGATGAACGACTTCAAACCGAATATGTCCGAGGCGAGCTTGCTCTGACCGTCGCAACTCTGTCATCATTATGTTAAGCCCGCCCTCCGACTCTATACACGATGTGATTGGCCCTACCAGAGTCGGGGTTTTCCAGCTCAAACGTCTATGGAGAGTTGCTAAACCACACTTTGCTGCAAAATAATTTTTGTTGCCGCTAGGGTGCGTCTAGATTTCTAGGCTAGTTTTCCACATGACCTCCACATCATCAAGCAGAACCATAGAGGTGTTGCGCAATCTATTTGCTGCATATGGTCTTCCGGAAGAGGTTGTGTCAGATAATGGACCCCAATTCGCCTCCGCAGAATTCAAGCAGTTCCTTGACAAAAATGGAGTAAAACAAACTCTGGTACCACCATATCATCCAGCGTCAAATGGAGCGGCTGAGAGGTCGGTGCAAATACTGAAGATGGCGCTGGTGAAGCAAGTTCTTGACGCAAGGGGACATCCCAGCATCTCTCTGCAGCACAGGCTGTCAAACTTTCTGCTCATGTACAGGGCGACGCCGCACGCAGTCACCGGTCGCTCCCCGGCTGAGCTGTTTTTAAAGAGAGAACTTCGCACCCGGTTCAGTCTTTTGAGACCAGATCTGTCACGCACTATAGAGCATCAGCAGGCAAAGCAAAAGCTCTATCATGATAAAGACAGACTGAAATTGAGAGAGTTTCAGGAAAATGACCAAGTCAGAGTGAAAAACTTCAGAGGAGGAGATGAGAAATGGACTGCCACGACGGTCATAAAGCGCTTAGGTCCTGTGACAAACCGAGTCTGGGAAGGAAACAGACAACGATCAGTTCATGTGGACCACATGCTGTGGAGAAGAGGAGAACTTAAGGAACTGGAGTCATGCACACCGTTTGAGGGCCGGGACCTTACATCCGATGCCTCACTAGAGCCTGATCTAGTAGAGGCCAGCGAATTGAAACTGCCTGACTCCGACTCCTCAGAGAAGGGCATCTGCCTGGGCCCAACATTGTCGGGCAATGTTACGTCCCCTCTGGGCAGCCATAGCAGCACTGCTGTTGTACCTCCCGTAGTGCAGCCAAGGAGAAATCCAGAGAGACTCAGGAAGGCTCCCAAGAGATTGGACTTATAAGGTGTCGGAAAAAGAAAAATGGAACGACTGTTCTTGGTTCAAGAAGATCTTGAAAGTTAAGTTTGGTTTGTTTGTGTGTGTTTTGTTTTCCCCCAGGTTTAAGCTTAAAGGGGAGGAATGTAATAAACTTGTTTTATATTTGTTGGGGGTTCTCATGGGGCGAAGGCAGTAAGGTGATTGGTTCATAGTCACATGACTCAGTGTAATCAGGAAGCTCAGCAATGTGCACGGAGCTGTGGATGTGTGATGATTGCCGCTGTTCTTGGAAGTGATCAGTAAAACTTATTGAGTATTGCAACCACCGTTTCCAGTGCCTCATTCGAACTACAAGATATCACAGGTACGTTATGACAAGGTCAATTAGTCGTCACTTGGTCAGCATGTCATTATTTTATGGCAGCGTTGTAAGGATGTCGTGGTAGAGTTCCATTTTTTTAGAATCTTGGCTAACGTTTCAGCATGTCCTCATGGTCCCCTGGTCTTAAGATAATAGCCTATAGGCTGTATCAATGTCACAGTCACCAACTAATGGTCATCGTCTCTGTCACTGTCATCGTCACTGTCACGCGTTAGTCCCCGTCTGCAATACAGTTCCCAGCAGCATCCTGGCCCACACCGCACCTCCTTCACCATTACCCGCACCTCCCAGCAATCATCATTACTCATCACTCTCTAGCTGTTGTCTTCATTGTTCACCTTTGTATTTAAGTTCCTCCTTGTCCTCTGGGTCAGTAATTGTTTGTGCCTTGCACGCTGTTTTGTATTGTTGCTTTTGTAAGTTCTTGTTAAATAAACTGATATCTCTTTAGTGGATTCTGAATGTTACAATCTATGTATTTTATTTACAAGTTACATATGTGATATTAATTTGTCATGACTGACATTCTATTTTTACAAGCTGCAGAGATATATACTTTATACTGAATGCGTATTATATACTTTATAGAGATACTGAATGCATGTTTCATATTTTTCAGTGTTCATTAAAATGATTTTTTTACGCACTCTTTTAATGGAGTGAGCGAAATACACAAAAAAAATCTGTTCGATTAAAAAAAAGTAGATCGGTTGCACATGTTTATTTTATGGTTTCTTAACATCATTTATCTGTTCTTGTTGCCTAGTTTTTTATATGTTGTTTTTATACTTTTTATCACGTGACCTGGTCTTAATTTACGGACTTTTAATTAATTGACTTATGTTTAAATGAAATCTTTATTCAGTATATAAAGTGGTGTTTCAATAAATACAATTATAATAAAATAATCCTGATTAAAAAAATAAATAAATAACTGATAAAACTGAAAAAAAAAAAAAAAAAGATCAAATTAAATTTTTCCAGTTTGGGAAACCGTAAGCTGACTTTATATATATATATATATATATATATATATA